TGCACAGCCGATGGCAAAGTCCGAAGCGTCACAGACGACACTGAAAGGACGATCGGGGCCTGGCGCACCATTATTGGTGCACGGTGGAAGCTGTATTTGACCCCGTCAAAAGCCTCCAGATGTTTAGAGTCCTAACACCATCCCGCATCCTTCTTAAAGAGATTCGACAATGGCCGTGCCATTTTTGCATAATTCTCGCTGTACTTGTGCAAGTAGTTGGGGAGGCCAAACCACTTCGCAAGTTCTTTTGATTCTTTGGAACCGGCCAGTCCACAATGACCTTGACTTTAGCGGAATCCGCTCGAAGGCCACGTTCCCGATGAAGCACCCTAGAAAAGTGTTTTAACGGCACCGTAGATGCGCTTGTCTGTATTAGCATACAGCTTCTTCGTGCACATGCACTCAAACCCCGCCCTTAAATGGACGATGTCGCTCTCTTCATCCGTCCTACCGTGCTCTGCACAACTGTGGCCGAAGATATCGTCGAAGTATGTCTGTGCATACGCCGGGTGGGGCCTGAACAACAGCGTCAAAAGACGATTATATGTTGCTGGCGCATTTGACAGCCCTCGGTGCATCACCACCAACTCCCAGGTCATGCTAATCGAAAAACGCACGGCTGTCAGCGAAAAATTACTCGCTCTTATGAGCAATTAGAAATACCCATCGACCATGTCGAGTGCACTGTACTTTGTACATCTCACTATGTTGTTCTGGAGAACATCCTTTTTAAAAATTGGCGTCTGTGCTGGAATGGTGGCAGCGTTGAGTATTGTGAGCGTGAGCGATACCCCACTTGCCGTTCGGTTTTTGGACACAAAACGTGGGTGTCAAATGGGGAGACTTGCTCTCACGCGCCATCCCTGCGACGTGCTTTGCATGGAAAAAGGCATCAATGACGTCGCACTGCTCCTTGGGCAAGAGCCATTGGCGTGTTACGCAGTATTTGGTTCCCGGAACCAGGTCGATTTCATGACATTGGTCTGAAGGCAGGACCGACGGGGGCCTTTACAGACGACGTCCTAAAATTCCTTTACCATGGATAATACGGATCCGAGGGATTCCTTAGGATCAAAGATCCACTTCTTGCGCTGAGCACCCTCTTGGTGTCCTCCAGGACATCTTCATCCAGAAGCGACGACAAGTTCATCTCCTCTTCCGGTCGTGAAATGTCCACGTCGGCTAAGTCGCCTGCGTTCAAAAAACCTCCCAACCTTTCGAGGGATATTTTGTCCAGCTCAAGAAGCGCATTCATGCGGTAATAGCGTCGAGGGTGACGTCACCGTCATCCTCTCCCGTCAAACCGTTGACAAGGGTGAATAGCTGTGCATCTTCGTCTACGGTAGACACACCCTGGGTCAGGGTCGACACCCTGCGCCTTGCGGATATCATACGGCTCCGCCGTCTCTTCTCTATAGAGGTCTTATATCTCATCGAGACCAGTGGGAACATGCACTCGACGTCGTCCAGTGTCCCCGCTCCCTGCTCCATCGGAGCCTTGATGTTATTAACGACATTCGACGAATAGCTGCTAGCTGCGCAGTCTTCGTCCAGGGGATAATGTGCCACTTCCCGTCATCTGAAGGGTCTTGTCCAAGATGTCTCGGGCCTCTTCCAACAATGCCACTCGTGGCATGCAGCGACTGCTTTGAAACGTTAGCAGTACTCAGTTGATTACGTGTCACTCCACGTGCATCATTGGGGCCTCGACCTCGAGGCCTTGGCTCTTGGCCGACCATGTCTACAGCGCTCGGTGGGTTACGTGCCACCCCACATTTAGCTCGCGAGTCATACCCGGGCTCCTGTCCGATACACCCTCGGTGTTCGACAACTCGGGTACTTCGATCTCCAGCACGTTGACCGTCCCAGTCCAATGCCCGCGCCAATAGCGTTTTCGCCTCATAGCAGAGTGGGTTCATGACTCACCAAAGCTCCATCAGGAGACGTGCGCGTATCGCCTAAGGCCCTCGACCTCTAATCGACCCATGACGCATTGTGTTTCGACCTTGTCATGTCATGGATGAGGTTATTCCTTAACCCTAAGTCAAATACTAAGCAGCTTTCCACGCTATCCAGTACAAGAAACTTGACACCGAGATCCACAGGGGCCCTCGGCACCGTGACACTAAGCGAACATTGACGATTTCAAGTCATGGAAGATCCTGATCGACTCCGGGGCGTCAGGCAATTATGCTCGACGCTCCATGATAGAAGTAAGTCAGCTGGTTGCTAAGGCGCTGAAAGCGCGATTGAGGTTTCACGACCACCAAGCCCGGCTTGCATATACGTTCCGTGCTTAAGAGCACGGAGCTCTTGGGGCTGAGCCCTGCTGATCTCTACCGCTGTAAGGCTTAGCAGAACTCAGTTCCCCAGTAGGACGCCGAGACAAAGCGAGACGTCCGTTCAATGAACCCTGATGAGCCTTGCCCAGGGGACAACCAATCCGAAGTGAAGAGTGTCTCAAATTCGTCGGATATTTGAACGCTGCTCGGCAGCACAGAGCTCTGCCTCTTTTTTCTCAGCATAGCTGAAATCCATCGGCTGAGGCCCGCTCGACGAGTTGCTAGAGTGTGTATTCCACTCCAAAGTCGTGCCGACTTACAGTTGAATTTAGTATTCAATGCCACATTTATTGCCTCTTCAAAGGAAGACGGATGCACACGGAAGGCTTCCATTCTGACCACGCCAATGCAGAAGCCTTCCATAAAGACGGTCACTGTGACCGCCTCCGGGAGAGAATCGGCCGCTAGACCGGCAATGAGAGTTTGCAACGCTTGGACAAAGTTCACCAATTTCTTATTGCCCTGTCGGGCAGCAAGGACACGCGATTGACGCGATATGCCTGGAAGGCGGCAAGAACACTCGTGACAGCGGCAGCTTCAGCTCCGTCTAGAAGGGAGGCATCTCTTCAACCGAAGTGCTGCACGTCAGTGCCCACTTTCGCGCTCGACCGCAGAGCTTGGAGATAGCTAGCGCCACGCGCTGCTGCTCGGCCTGGGGCATGGCGGACACCGTGGTCATCTTGAACTCTCTTACCCAGAGCAAAAGACCTATCCTTACCCTCAAAAGTCTTTATGCTCACCATGAGCGGCTTGGGTCGCGAGAAATCATCCGTCGTCGAAGGTGACGTTATGGACGCAGTCGACGCCGACATCGTCTGCTCTAAAAGCTCTAGTAGAGCATTTTCTTCGTTCACAAAAGCCTCTAGGCGTGCACTGATTGCTTCAGGTCCTTGCGAAGCGTGGTGTCGCACGCCCCCAGGGCCAAGCAGAGACTTCAGCATTTTGAGCCCGTCCTACATGCCCTGGGGATAGTAGAAGAACTGCTTCATTATTACAGAGGGTCAGTCGTAAAAAAAAACAAATCGAATGTAGATTGATTTCAATTGCTACCAAGTGCAGCAGGGCTGCCGTAGCTCTATCGCTTAGAGGAAGCTAATGTGAGGTCGGTGACCTCCGCTCTATACTTAGAACCAGTACGAGTGTAGCGGTTCGCAATCCACTTGCTGCAAGAGTAACGACAGCCTTAACCAAGGTTAATTAACGCATCCTTTTAAAAAGTAAGCTGTATTTCTCGGTTTTATTTATTGATTTTCTATCAATATAGTAAAACCTCATTATATATATATAACGACTGGCTGTTCCAGCCACGCACTGGCATGTCGTTTCATTGAAGCCACACCATTGTGTGGTCACACCATCTTGCGTAACCCACACCATCTTGTGTGACCTCGTTACACACCCCATGACGCCAAAAAAGTGTGCTCACTGCCGTGGCAATGTATTACTTAACCACATGAGTAGTAAATATCTCTCATCTATCAGCTCGAGCGCACTGAGCAGGATATAGACTACAATGATGTCTCGCAACACATCCGGGAAAAGCGTTTGCGTCTGTTTAAAGAATTAAAAATTTGCTACAAAAAGGCGCCACCAAGCGGAAATTCTGCTTTTTTTCATTTATCCAATTTGTGCTTTGCGCAGATAAAGGCAGCCAAAACGGCACATTTTCCAATAACAAAAATTATTATAGTTTTAGTATGTCAATCTTGTGACGGAACCTATCATATGGATGCGATATCCATGGTGTAATCACAACGTGGACTCACCTTAATAAAGGAGGATCTTCCCTGAAAATAGTTGTCTCGCTCTTAGCGTCCAGTGCTTTTCTAATGTCCTCAAAGACATTCTGATCCGTGATGGAGCTCTTCTTCTCGTAACTTGGTGATCGCACCGTCTTACAGACTCTTAAACGCACGTGAGGGAGAACTTGACGCCTAACATTTTTGTCGTCTATTTGGTCCACGACGTGGCGTTCTTCCAAGCCACGCCTTATATGATGTCTTATCTTGTATCCGAATCGAGGGCAAAAACAGCGTTAATCACCATCATAGCTTGGAGACTTTACCTTATGGTTCAGAAAGAAATGGCCGACAGCTCAAAGCCTCGAGACGGGCAGATAGACACTCACTGCCCTTGCATACTCGTTACTATTTTCAGCAGTAGTATGTCGTACTTATTTGAACAATGCCCTTTTTTCTATCAGGGCTATTCATAACTCAAACTGCCCCGTATGTTGATCACAACGGCCTATAAACCTGAACCATAATCAAACTAGCTCTTCTCTGAGTTGGACCTAACTAAGTTTGCTTTTCACAAAGAATATCAGAGCTTGATTCTTTTGTTATAATGGGACTTGAAGTTCTTTGTGCTCTGTGAGCTTGCAAAAGGAAATTAATCTCATTCAAGCTGATGTTGTTTAAGCTGATCACTCGCCTGCCAAGAGCACCTTAATTTCTGTTGGCGCCGATCTAAAGATAGTATCTGGTATCGCTGCCCTATATGTCCAATCATCTTTCATTAAAATTTTCGAAAGGGCGAACTTCCGTGCATAGCAGGTCGACAGAACCTTCCCTTGCATACCTCAGCTGACACTTGTGGATCAAGATGTGCTCATTCCAATATCAAAAGAGACTGTGGATGCGGGGCAGGTTACACTGCTTGACGCACCAATGCGAAGACTCTACTTGCATACAGAAACTGCAAACAAATCGGAATGGTCTACCGACACTAAGCCTATAAAAACTCTCTGTTCTCGTACCTACGACAGCAGATTATTGTTCCCTCCGTAATGGAGAGCGGTGAACCTGATGAGACTCGCGACATCTGTTGCTGAAATTGAATTGCCTCGCTGATTTAAAAAAACCGCAGTGTCCAAATTGTGTGCCTTGTAAATTGTCTTCACGATACGCGATTGCCCTGTTAGAATAAGCGCTAGATGCAAGGCCATCTCCACCTTTCGCGCACACAATGATATTTTCTTTTATTTTGTTTCTTAAATTTCCCACAATTAATAAGCGTGTCCTTACTCTACGGAGCTCTACTGAGTCGGTGATAGCTGCTCCGGCGTCGATTTGAAACGTTTTTGAAGATGTCTCACCGGTACATTTTCTGTAGCTTCAAAGACACCTCCCTGCGCTGGATCATCGATGGTGTCATCGCGTCGGCGTCAACAATAGACAAGATCAGTCATTGAGCTGACTTAAGTGCTGCCAATCGCCGCGCGATAACGCTCCAGATGAAACTTTCACCTCATAGAGCTCGCGTTCATAAATCCACCGAGAATTTTGCTTTTCAACTCGTTTCTAGGAAACAAAATTGAAATTCTCTCATATTATTTTTTGGAGTACCAGATCACTGTTTTACCAAACGAATACATTTGTCGACACAGCACCTTTAAGTTCCGCTTGAATAATAGTGTAAACGAATACGTGCCCCATTGCAAGGTACCTTGATCGGAGCACGGTAGACCCTTGATCTACTTCCACAATCGCTAGGTGACTTAGCGTCAAGCCCCACTGCCTCTAATGATATCCCGAGAAGAAAGAATTAATTGACCCACCAAATCTTCTATAGAGTCTGGTGGCTTGTTCATCTTCTAGACTTGGGCGCGTAGAACGTTGATAAATCTTTCATACTGATGTTCTTAAAGTGCCTTGCAGCCATAAAAACGCTTGTATGACAACTAAAGGTAAGCTTATTGCGGCCGTTCTCTAATATCTTACGCTAATGCTCGATAAGACGTTCAGTATCAACGATCCTGTGGTGCAGTGATATACTGTTCACTTCAGAACCGGGAGACCCAGGTTCCATTCCCCGGGCCGGGTGAAGCGGGGTTAGAGTGTACTGAGTAAAACCCTACAGCTCGCGCTTGACATGGCTAACACGACTCCTAAAAAGGGGTGACGTCTAAAAATTACAAGACGTTCAGTATCGAGTCAGACAAAATAACTTTTACACATCGTGCAGCGGGGCTACCGTAGCTTTGCGCTTTGAGGAAGCGTAACTCAGGTCACCGACCTTTCGTTCTACACTTAGAAGAAGTACGAGTTTAGCCGACCGCAATCCGCTTTCTCCCAGAGTAATTTTACCTTAACCCAAGGCTATCAACTCTTCCGTCCAAAATCCAAAACTGCCTTTTATTTATTTTTATTTGCGGCAAAGCCGCCTAATTTTAAATGTTTAGATTTTCCTAAATATATATAGTAAAAATTAGATACATGCATAACTACTGGCTACCTAGCCACATACCGTATTCTTATTTGGGTGCAGTCACACTATGCCCGTCTCGTGTGACACACACCCCTGTTACCAGGGTACGTGTAACCCCGTTATACTCTTCCCCATTAAGATTGAAAACATTTACAGTTCTAATCGATTATTGCCTCAACGAGGCTCGCGTGTCCGCTAGTCACTGCAACCTTAATTCATTGGAATTAAACGACTTCCGTGCTCAATGAGTTCTGTGTCAACGACACAGAAGTCAACAAGTCTCGCTGGTTCTGACATCGAACACGGGCAGAGCCCGATTTCGTCTCCCGCACGCGGTGCGATGTCGGACAGTGTGTCCGCGGCACCGAGGAATGTACATCCTAGGCTCGATGAGCACGAGCGTCGCGCTTT